GCGAGCAATTGTTTTTGAATTATTCATCAGCAGGCTTGGTACAGAAATATACGTTGAGAAAAGGCGTTCATTCGGGCAACAGAGAGTAACGATTGATTGAACGAAAATTGTTAAATAGCTAACGTAACGTGTCCTGTGTTCAAGTGACTGAAGGCATGTGATACCACTGTGTGAGGTCCAATCCATCTTTATTACGGGCTGACCAAGGTAGTAGTAATGCTTCAACCTGCTGCTTCTGAGTGCATAGATTTGGTTTGGTCAATCTGCTGCGTATTGCTTCAACGGTAGCAAGTAGCCGAGTCCCTGACCGATGGTGCAGATGTGATGGCACTCGACAGAGGATCTCAAATGACTTGCGCTTACAAATCAGATGACTAGTGCATATCAGATGGTTGGTTATGGCACTCAACTTAGTTTTGTCCCGTTGGGTGACGAGCGATGTTGGTAAATGTTCCTTGATTCGCCTTTTCCAAGTGCCTGGTCGTGCGTCCAATGTACCTAGCCACACAGGAGCAGGTGAACCGGTAGACTACCATTGATTGGTGTTCAACAGGCATGCTGTCCTTTAATCTAGGAACAAAGTGCGAACTGCTTGTAAAAATGTCACTAAGTTGAGCCGCATTAAAGTTCTTTCGGCAAGTCTGTATCAGTCGTCGTGTGCATATCTCAGCCGGTTTGTCACCTTTAAAGGGAAGATTGTGAAATAGCTGTTTCTTCTCTACCGTGTGTACTGTTGGTCTTGGGCTACTACGTTTAGTATGAATGCCAATGAATTATTCTGGATAACCGTTATCGAGAAGTGTTTGCCAGTTTAGCTTCGTTTCCTCTTCAAATGTGTCTGCACTACAGATCTTCCGTGCACGATTGGCCAGCGTGTGTGCCAACGTTTTTTGCGGCTAATTGGCACAAAAATTTGGAAGTGTGTGTATCGGCCTGTCCAATACGGCTTTCTACATACATCTATCTGAATTCATCCGTCTTCTTGTCGCTGTAAGTTTTCATCCAAGAAGTGAATTTGGTTGTCAGTTTCTTCTTCAACTGTGAAAGTGGCGTTGGGATGTTCCTTGTTATAACACTCGACGAAAATTTGCAAGTTGTTCGTCTGCTCAATTACACAGAATATGTCGTCAACATAACGTCGGTAGAAACGTAGGCTAGATATAACCGGTTTAACAGGCCGTCCTCTAACCTTCCCATATAAATATCAGCCAATAGTGGTCGGAGAGGTGATCCCATCGCTACCCCATCAACTTGTCTGTACAATTCATTGTTAAATTGGAATTGAATGAAATAAGTGTAGATGAGCAATAGCTGCTTTAAATTGACAGTTGGTATTTCGAGCTTTATCTTGTACTGCTCAGTGTAAGTACAAAGAAGGTTAACTGTTTCTATAAGTGGGACATTCGTGAACAAAAACAAGACGTCCAAAGGAAACATTCGATATCCTAAGATGTGCATAGTTTCAACGTTTTTCACAAATCGAAAAGTGTCCGTAAGTTGATGAAGGGCTATCAATTTTCTAATAGAATCCAAAATAGACGCTAACCATTTTGCGATGGTGTGCTATGGTGAGTTCCTCATATCCAATATCGGTCGCAATGGTACACTCGGCTTGTGTATTTTTGGGAGACCGTAAAGTCTAGGAATTATGGAGCCGGTATGTCTTATCCTTTCATATCTTTCTTTAGTTATGTGCCCTTCAGTGACCAGTGATTTACAACACCTTGTCAGCTGTGCTTCTCTGTAATCTATTTTGTCCTTTTCTCGTTCACATCGTACAAACTTGGGGAAGTCCGAGAGGATAAGCTTCAATTTTTGTACATATTCTGTGAGCTCCATGATCACGTCTCCTGATCCTTTGTCTGGTCTGGTGATTATGATTCCCTCGTTTTGCTGAATTACGCTTATGGCTCCGATGTGTGCCTTTGTTAGTAATCAGGAATGTGTCATGAGGAATCGTTGATACTGAAAGGAAATATTGATCAAGTTCGACTTAAATTGTTCGAGGTTGGTGTTGGAAGTGGCTACTAAATCAATTGTCTGGCTGTTAAGCTATTCAAATTGAGTTTCGATTTCTAGTCGGTGATCATTACTTCGTGGATAGCAAAACCTAAGGACCAATGAAAGCGCCTGCATTTGTACGGTGCCTCGTGGTATACTGGACAGATTGTGTACATATTTTTCCGGATTTGATGGAAATGTGTTCGGACATTCCTTCAAGGTCAGTGAATTCTGCAGAACTAATCTCTTCTTCGATGTACGCTTGGAGGTCACGGTGCACACCTGCTCGATAAACCGGACGCGGTCATCATGGTCGAAGTCGTCTGGGGCAGATTTCCTCTGTGTTATATGCCGCACAGCCTAAGAGAGTTTCAATTTTGCAGATTCTATAATGAGAGGATTATCCTTTTCTCCTGCTTTCCTGCTTTCTCCTTATCCTGCTTTCTCGGCTTCAGGACTCGCGCCCATCACTTAAATTGCCGAAGCTCTTTTTCGGATGGTGACGACTCTGCGCAACCACGACTCCTCACGAGTCGAAACCATTCGCCCAGAGGCACTGAGAGCAGCAGCTAGACAACTGGCAAAATTTTGGCCCCGTTCTTTCAGCGCTGCATAGAACAGAACCAGAGCCTTACGAAGTGAAATCTTGACGTTGACGTTTGCGAAACCGCTGATGTGATTTCCCTGGAATTTGTCCAAGGCGTTCCTTCGTCTAGGTCATCGGATCCTCCTTCCCAAGCTCCAGTAGTACGGGATCGATAACGTCTTATCGAGCTGGATCGCCAACGTTCTCCTGCAACGACAATTAGTGGTCAGCGTTCGGAGTTGTTTATATGACTTCATAAAAGTCGTGTATGGTTTGCCCCAGGGCTTAGTTCTAGGACCGCGCTTATTTTTGGTACTCAACAATGACCTTGCGTTAACAATCGCTTCAAATGTTTTGCTGTTTGCTGAATATTTCAAGATACGGCATCGGATTCAGGTGGATGCCGATCGAAATTCATCTTAGCCTGACCTTGTTATGGTATTTGGGTGGGCGACCCGAAATATGTTATACTTCATCGTGGACCAATGCAAGGTACTCTCCATACGACACCAGCGTACCTATTCCTACAAGCTGGGAACGCAAATGCTTCAACGATTATCCATCGAGCACTACCTTAGGCTGTTTGTTCAGGATAACTTGGGTCTTTCTAAGCAAACAGTGAAGGCATTGCAAACTGACAACCAGCGGAGGGCTTTCGAACAAATAGATACCACTATTTTCAGACAGATCCTGAATGCGTATGTTCGACCCCATATCGAATACGTAATCCATGCCTGGAAGTGATGGCTGAAGCACGAACTTACTGCACTGAACCAACATTAACGTCAGACTTGTATATACGTCATTGGAATGTGTCACCTTCCAGACAAGCAGCGGCTGAAACGTGTGGAAGTATGCAGTGAGCGGTATCGTCGACTACGAGGGGACTTGATTATAGCATACTTGAGTTAGCACTATCCAAATCATATGTGTCCATGTTTACTGAAACTCGGCAGTTACTCCAAGCCTAAATGCCACTGCTTGCAAGTAGCGGAACAGTACAGCCGTTTGGAGTGCCGTAGATGTGTCTTTTCTATTCTTGTGTGTCAACCATGCAGATCTCTTCCAGAATCGGTTGTTTCTACACCTATTCCAGCCATATTAACAGTCGGGTGGATGAAGCACTCCGCCACTTACATCCATCCCAGTCCCGGAAATACCGTGGATGTATTGTTTATCGCCTACTGAAGCTATGGAAACACTCGGATTGCAAGGCTCCTGCTCTAGATATGATAAGTCCATAGTTTTGCGGATAAGACTACTAAATGCACTATATAATTAAGGTTTTTCGATAACCCACCGGACTATCCAATGGGGATTGTAAAACAGTGCGCCTTGACCCGTTTAAAATCTTTGTTCATTGTGCAAATTGGATGTACTTTGGTGACGTTCATATAACTATAAAACAGACATTGTATTAGAGGAAACTAGATTGGCACTGTGTAATAACTACAGAAGTTGATCCAACTAGTTTACGCTACGGCACCTTTTTAAAATGCGTGTCCCGCCATAGTAAAGCTTGCATTCTTCCTTTAAGCCAAACATTGATTAACTTTTATATTTAATGTCCAAAATTCTGTTCACAGGTCAAAAGTTAAGTTGGATTAAGAGAATAAATACCTTAGCTGCCAAGGCCGTCCAGCTGGCAAATGAAATATCTAATACTAATTGTGATCTAGGCCGTAGTATTCAGGGATTCCGTCACATTAGACCTCGACTTCATACAATTTAACAAGTTGGCCAATTAATGCAGTTATCTATACATAACGCGAGTGGAATTCCGTTTTACACTTTTTATTTGATGGGTCTTACATGTACAGCGCAGGACAATCGCTACTTGTGTCGCTACGCTATTCACTGTGTTTTCGATTTCATGCATGGCGTTTACTGCCAGCTGCAAACAGCCCGAAGTAAATGTCACACACGTGAATGTACTTCATTTGTTACTAGTTCTAATGTTCTAAAATTTGCGATTGTTGACCGTGTTCTCCTCCTAACGAAGATGGAGCTTGGCGTTTGTCAGGTAAATCGTATCCGTTTTGAACGAATAACTAGACGGAAGACTGTCTGATATATACAAAGTAACGGTGTACAACAGAGTGTACATAAGTGTTCTTACGGACACGAAACCAAACATATAGTTGCTTGAATTCGACGAATTAAACCGCACATAGAACTTTTGTCACTGTGACCGACATGTTATTGCCAGACGATTAAATAAATTACAAAACTTTTTTAGGTTACCAACCCAAACTAGTGAAGATCTAATAGCGCGATTAAACTGGAGTGTTAGAAATGCTTTGAAAAAGATGATGAAACCGATTGAGTTTGCATTTAAAATGTGCGAAGGAAAGGTGATACGGACAAGAGAATTTAAGGAAAGGAAAGTAAAAGATCGTTTAGGTTAAAATCGTCACATTGGCCCACATTGCAAGAGAGGTTGAATGCATTGTACTGTCTTGCTGCCGGTTGAACGCATCGTATGCAGCGGTTCGCCAAGAGATTGATAGAATTTGAGTTCCGTGCAAGCGTCTTCATTGAATTTGACCTTTGTATTTCGAATAAATGAGGTAGCCAAGAAAAATTACCACAAACTTATAATTTGTTCCGGCGACGACTTGTGTAGAGACGCTTAATAGCTCAGAGGGATTTAGATGCGTGCTTCCATCTGCGGCCAACTTGGCTTGAAGCTAAATAAAACGGTCAGTAAAAGAAGCAGGGTGAATACAAGCTTACTTTGGGCATGGAAAATTAACCGTTGTTCCTCGCTTGGTGCGCATGGATTAGTGAACCCTCCGAGCATGCGCACTCCAGTAAAGCATGGAAGATACTGCACAGAAAGGAACAGCGACAGGAGACAAGTAAGTGAATGCCTCATGCTGCTTTCAACTGATATGCTATGAAAACGGGCGAAGAGTACAAAATTCCCGTGAGAGTGTAACACAGCGTTCACTTAAATATGCTCCAGATTGCTTGGCGTCCAATCATGTTTCAGACATAACGATAAATGTCAGAAGCCAATAAGGAACAGTAAAACGTGCAAGGACGTTAGCGAAGTGTTAGAGAAGAACTGAACTAGAGATCCAATCAAGAAACGCGTAGCACTTTATTCACGGATCACACGTGTGCGTTCGGTCACATGACCACTTGGCGTATCTGCGTACAAACACATCCTAGGGTGTGAGGCACAGAGACGACAGACAATGTAGGTTTAACCAGAACTTTGAGGCAAAGGCGTGAGGCACGAAATGTTTAACAAAAAGAAGTTAAATCACTGTTTCAACTTGTTGCTAATTTGCGAAAATTAATTTTTACGGTATTAGTTTCGCAGGTAATTATGTAGACTAGAAAATTATATTAGAAAAATGAGATTTTCATTTACATTAACAATATTGTTTATTCTCGAACAAGCAGTTCCAGTTAATAAAGGAGTGGTCAAAGAGTATCATCAAGCCGCATTTTTGGAAAAGTACAAAATTTGTTATAAACCTATAACCGGATATTTTATGCATGTTGTAAACGCAGTTGCGTTGTAGAATTATTTTCGGAGATCGTTGGGAACAAATCAATGGATTGTTAGCGAACGAACCAACCAGTATTTGAAAAGTTGAACTCATTAGCCGAGAGTTGCTAGTAACTCCTGAAATGTGTTTTATGCTTTTATGCGCGACGTTGAAAAGCAAAGGTTTGACACATTGTTCTGAAACAGAAATAGAAATTTTACTGGAATGTATGGAAGAGTACAGCAGTTGTTAACCATGATCACGAGGGTGTTTGCAAGACTAGTTGTAATTATTTGCGAAGAGAATTCAATGTGTGCTTTAATCATCATGAGGAAACGGCTTGCTGGTTATAGAGCGGTGCACATATAAGTAAAATAATAGCGGTTGTCTGCGATAGCTGTGTGTGAAGATCCGCTTCGGATGGAAAGTGAAGAGGTGGCATTTTAGTAAAGATATTCGTTCGTTACCAAGTGTAAAATCTAAAATACTCAGGTAAGGTGAAAACTGTTTACAGCAATAGTGTCCCAAATAAAAAAGCATATTTGCGTCAATTGTCACACTTTTCTGTCGTCAGTTCCTTATGGTCCTTTTACACGTTTGCCCCGTTACATGTAGTCCCTCGTAGCCCTTATCCATGATCGTAATGCATTATAAGCCCATAAAGCTTTGGACAGCAGTCACAGCATTTTAAACGTTTCTCTTGGCTTATACTAGCGTCTGAGTGAACTCCTTGGCTTACACTGTTATTCATTGTTTGTCTACACAGCCACAACTACGTTGTTTAGGCGCCTTATTGCGTAGCACGTGAAAAAATCGTTTGCTTTCGTATTGTGCGGGTACTCGTGAGGTTTGCCGAAACGCACTATGATATCTGTGACTAACAAAGCGTTTACTAGAAAGTAGAAGGATTTCTATACAACTATAACGAATTGCGAAAAATCAAAAATATTTAATTGCGAATCGTCCGCGGTATGGTTTCGTCCTTGGTTCGATGTCTGCTATCTCTATCTGATTAGAGGAAATAACCTCGAAACGCGTCACGAAGTACATGGGTTTCAGGCGGTCAGGCGGTTCATCAGCTACCGTTCTGGTGATCGAATGGCCAAGGTTCATTTCAATGGGAATCGCGGTCCACTTTGAGATTGCGTGTCGCAATCCATCCACACAGGTTGTATTTGAAGTCGATCCTCCAATCATTCAGCAACAGCTGTGTCATGATTTTGCCCGTTGTGACCCGGTGGCTGAGGGGTATATGTCACAACTAGCATCCCAATGGTCCCAAATTCGATTCCTGCTATCTCTATCGAATGAGAGGAATTAACCTAGAGACGCGTCATGGAGTGCAACTGTTTCAGGCAATCAACGCACAGTTTGCATCTACTTCATCAGCAGCAGTGCTAGTGATGGAATGGTCAAGTATATCTCCATGGTGAATCGCGGTCCACTTTGCGATCGCTCGTCACACTTCAGTCCCACAAAGTGTAATACAAATCGAGCCTCCAATCTGTCTTTAATCGTTGTGTCAAGCTTTGCCTGTCGTGACCCAGTGCTGAAGGGTTTACGGTCAAAAGTAACACCCTACTAAAACAGGGTTCGATGCCTGCTATCTCAATCTGATGAGAAGATATAACCTTGAAATGCGTCAAGTGACGCAGTGTTTTCAGGCAAGCAACGCCCAATTTGCATCTGCATCATCAGCTGCAGTCCTAGTGCAGGAATTGCCAGGGTTCACTTCAATGGGAATCGCGGTCCAGTTTGAGATTGCGCGTCTCATTCCATCCACACAAAGTGTTTTTCTAATTGATCCTCTAATCTGCCTTCAACCGTTTTGCCAAGCTTTGCTTATCGTGGAAGCAAACTTAAGTTTACCATTCACAGTTAACCTCCAGATTGTTTTGAGTCCAATGCTTGTTATCCCTATCCAATGAGAAATAATAACCTTAAAACGTGTCATGTAGTTCAGTATTTTCAGGCAGCCAGCACCCAACTTGATTCCGCATCATCAGCTATGGCTTGTAAACGAATGGCCAAAGTTCACCAAAAAGAATCGCGTTCCACTTAGGGATTGCATGTCACAAAATATTCACTCAACGTGAATTGTAAGTTGACCCTTCAATCTGATATTAACCTGTGTGCGATACTTCGCCCGTATTGTCCCGGTGGCTGCGGACTAGTGGTTACAAAATACATCCCAAATTTTACCCTTTCGATGCCTGTTATTTCTATCTGATGAGAGGAAATAACCTTGAGTCGCGACAAGAAGTACGGTGTTTTCAGGCTGGCAACGTCCAATTTGTTACTGCATAATCCGTTACGATAAAAGTGGTCGAATGTACAAGGTTAACTTTATCGGAAATCAAGGCCTAGTTTGAGATTGCGTGTCGCAATCAATCAACAAAGCATGTACATCAAACTGACCCTCCATTCTGTCATTAACATTTGTGCTAAGCTTGGCCCGTCGTGAAACAATGTCCAATAAACAGCGGTCACAGATTACATTCACATGGTCCCGAGTTCAATGCCTGCTACCACTACCGAGTGGAATTAACTTGGAAAAGCTTCCTATAATGCAGCGTTATGGCGCGCAACACCCAAACCGCTTCTGCTTCATCAGCTACGGTCCTCGTGATCGAATGCCCAAATTCTCTTCAACGGGAATCGGTGTTCAATTTGAGATTGCCCATCGCGAACATTCCACCCAACGTGTACCTCAAGTCAACCATTCAATCTGTCAGTAACCGTCGTGTCAAGCTTTGCCCTCGTGACCCAGGAGCTGAGGCTATTTGACACAAATGAGTTGCCAATTGTTCGGGGTGCGATGGCTGTTATTTCGATCTGATAGGAGGAAATAACCAGGAAACGCAACGTTAGGTGAAGTGTATTTAGGAGGGCAACACCCAATTTGCTTTATCTTCAGCAGTTGCAGTCCTAATGTTAGAATAGCCAATGTTCACTTCAATGGAAATCGCCGTCCACTTTGAGAGTGTGCGTCGCAATCTATCCACACAACATGCACTTAAAAATGGACACCGCAGTCAGTCATTAACATTTGTGCCAGGCTTTGTCCGCCGAAAACCGGTGGCTGAGGACTTCTAGTAACAAATAACATCCCAGTAGTCCCAAATTCCATGCGTGCTATCTCCATCTGAGGCGAGGAAATAACCTTGAAACGCGCATGGTGTGACATGTTTTCCTGCAAGTAATATCCAATTTGCTTCTACTACAACAACTACATTCCTAGCTTTTGAATGGCCAAGTTGTGCTTTAATGGGAATCGTAATCCACTCTTAGGTTGCACTCCACAATCCATCCACACATAGTGTGCCTCAAATTGAACGTCTAATCTGTCATTAACCGAGGTACCAAGCTTTGTCCGTCGAGAGTTGATGGTTGGAGTTGTAGCGGTCACAATTCACACCCCAATAGTCCTGGGTTCAATGCCTACTATCTCCATCTGATGGGGGGGGGGAATTAACCTTGAAACGGGCACGGATTCATGTGTTCTCAGGCAGGCAACACACAATTTGTTTTTACCTTATCAGCACATGGTGCGCTGAGGCTGTGGTGGCTAGATCCTGACAGATGGTCTACCCACTGCTGCTACTGTTGTGCCATTTGCTCATGTCCTGGGCGCCTCCTCGTGGCGACCGCTGGGTAGGATTTGGGTTTCGCTCTTCTCTCTGCTAAGATCCAGGACACCAATCCGCATGAGTCAGTGAACTGACCATGTGCTAGACCCGTTGCCTTTTGGATGTTCATTTAATCGAAGGCCTTGGCTGAGGACCCGAGTCGTTCGCCTGTCAGGTTTGGGCGCCCTGGCAGTATCCTACTCCATCCTATTCGAAGGTTAGGAAGTGGTCGATGGTCCTCTTCCCGTAAAACCTAGCCATGGGAGACAACAGGTCTACGGGTTATAAGCTCAAAGCTTGATTGGCATAGAGCACGAACGCCAGGCATTGTCCCTGACGGTGGGAGAGCACCCCCGGCTGTTCAATGGTTTGCTACTGCCCGCCTCAAACCAGGCAGCCCCTGGTCAAATTGGTGTAAACCCGCCAAAACCCACCTGCGTCTGGCCGTGGTCGCAGGTGCGTATCCTACTACGGTCGCAAAACACATATAAAACGTTCTAGAAACTCAAAGGCTGCGTGTGACGGCCGTCAAGCAGATCCCAACCTGTCTCTGCAATCACCTTCCCGAGCTGGATCTGCTCCCCACTGCCTTGTGGGTCAGGCTATTGAGCCA